AGATCTGGCCAAAAAGGCCAATGAGGGACTATCATGACCGCACAATATCCAGCCGTAATAAGACGCTCCGGCAATGCCTGGTGTGGTGTGCTCGGCTGGTGTAGTAATTGCAGGGTGGTTAGGGTGTGATTTTTTGTTTAACTATTTAAAATGGTGTTGTAGTTATAGGGGTAATTTGTAAAAAAACAACAAAGGGTGGCATTGTATGTAATTTATAAGAGTCCATACCGGGTCTGTAATACACACGCCCATCATTCATTGTGGTTTGTTAACTTTTGTTCAAAAAACTTTTGACCCCAAAACCTGCAAACCTCAAAGAGGTTTGACACCAAACGAACGCCATAATTTTGTTAGGTACAGAGCTAGAATGGGTATAAGGTCGTTTGAGAGTAGACTGTATGGTGCCGATGTTAGCTCAAAAAAAAAATTCATTCATTTTTAGGCAACGATAGACACACTCAAGAGAAGGAAACCAGACTAGATGAGGTGACACCCTCTACATTGTTTTCGCTTCATCGTATAGTTTTTTTTCCAGACATTAACAAATCCCTACAACAAATGGCAACAGCAAGTAAAAAGAGGCTATCTAGACTAGATCTGGTTGCATCTTGCCAGTCTCTGAAAAACAAAATACTACAAACAAGTCCAAGGCAAAAAAAAATAAACTTACAAATTAAAGAAATTCACTGACGGGTGCGTTGGACACATATGCTAGTGGTAATTTAAGAGGCACAACAATAAAAGATTAGTGAGATGAGATAAAGTAGGTCCGATGTACGCTCACTGACATATTGTGTTACTTATGGCAACGATGAACACCTTCCAAGGGCGAGCGTAAACAAAATAGATGGGATGCCCTCCACTCAATGTGTCCTTTCCTCTTCTATCTTCTTTCCGAGACATGTAACAAACATCATCCTAACTGTGAAATGGTGAGGCAGGACACTCCTGTACTAGTCGAAAAATAAAATAAAACGAGCGGGAAGAACTAGTTACTAATCACCTACAATTTAAAAACTAAAAACCGTACACTGCGAACACCATACGTCAATACATCTATAACGCATTAGAGAATTGAGCAATAGGTAAGATGTCGTAGCAGAATGTATCTAACACTAATTAGAGATTTATACTAGCAACGATGACGACGTTTCAAGAGTTGTTAACGATAGGAAGGAAACCCGTCCACCAGATTTGCCTTCCTGTCTATTTCCACTTCCAGAACATGAACATCCCCTCCGATGACAAACAAGGCAGACCAGCCGTGACTGCTGGCCCGGTTGATCCTTGCACATTGGTTGAAAAACATAAAACAGTAAAACCTAGCAAATAGCCTAAAGGATACAAGTAGTGTGCAATGACAAGTTCAGTGGCAGGTTTCGACTGCTGTATGCTCGAAAGAGGGCAATCCGCTTCATTGTATCGCCGAAAATAGCAAGATCAAAAGTCAGAACAGAGGATATCATGCAAATGGAAAAACTGAGTGCTGCTAAGTCATTACAACATACGAGGGCTATGCAGATTAGGCACAGACTCCATTGAACAGCTCCAAAGCTCGCCGGATATAACGTAACCTATCTAATGACGATTTCACAAACCTCATGCAATGGTAACGACTCCGATTAGATGATATAATTAAGCCATGGATTCAAGTGCCAGAATTGCTCCTTAAATCGGTTGGAGTACAACGAAAAAACGACCACACTCTAGCTCTCATAATTGTAAACTCCATATAAATTGAGCAACTAACTACTCCTAGGGTATCTGCAGTACCTGACTACAAGTCGCAAATATATGGCTTAATTCGATCACAAAGCACAAGCAGACCAAAATCTTTCTCGGTATATACCTCTATCAATCATAGCACCAACCCGTAAGAATTAGCAACAAGGGGGAGAGGAAAGGGGGGGCACCAGGCGGAGGTGAAAGAAACGAAAAGGGTTTAAGGACTAACAGAGGCAGACGGAGGAACTCAACCAAATAGGATACTCATGTGCAGATTGAATACAAGGAAAGTATGCAACCGCCATCACAAATGCAAAAAAAATCCTCTATATCCTTTCCACTACATCACACCAACCCTGAAATAAAAGAAAGTGTCATCATTCAGGATAAAAAACAAAGTTCTTAATATGACATACACAGTAAAGGATCAAACAAACAACAAATGAATAACTTTAAAACTATGCATTCACTCTATAGTGCCACCACAGCTAAAGCATAGAACTAAAAATGCAATCTTTTTGAAACTACACTTAAGTAAACTGAGGTTGTAAACAAAAGGATCAATCTTTACTCGTTTTAAACAAAGATAAAAAAAAAATCAGGTAATTGAGAGGAGTTTTCTGAGGCATCTGTTCTAGTACTTAAAAGACACTGGACCGAAGCCTCGTTAACTGTTGTGGTGGCGGAAGCGAAGCCGCTAAGCTTTTATATAAACTTGGTAGGTTTTTCAACAGAGACAAAGTGATCCCGTCACGGTAGGTGACATGGTTAAAGTAACAGCTGATGGAGTTTGAGTTAGGCTTTGCCACGTGGAATTTCGAGAAGTTGATTGTGACGGTGTGATTAAAGATTGAATCTAGTTTTTATAATTAATTTAATCTCTTGGTTTGCATAGCAAGGAGTTCAAATTACTGTAGCTTTGATTCATATTATTATTCTATCTTATTTTAAAAACCTAAATATTTTGTAATAATATTTTTAAAATCTAATTTTACTTTATTTAATTTTTAAAATATTAATAATTACCTTTGGGTTAGATTACATAGATATTCAATTTTAATTTTTTCAAATTACTATTTTAAAAGTATAAAATAGTGAACCGAGATTTTTTTTCAGTCATGTTTGATATGATATGACAGACTACGTGACATCAACGAACATTTACTGGCTCAGTAATTATGCAAATTTGGAGGGAGGAGAACGAAACATTAGCAAACCATGTGGGAAATCAAAATAATGCTCAATAGCAGAGGTCTTTCTGTAATTTTAAAATAAATTGTGGCATGAAAATAGGGCTCGTTTTACGGTGTCAATACTCAATACAGTATCAGGTGTCACCGTCCTGATAATCCAGATATGTGAGAAAAAAGTCAACTCTTCCATCATCGCCATCACCACCACCACCACCACCACCACCACCACCGCCACCGCCACCGCCCACACCACGGCAACAACGCTTCATTTCTCTCAGAGTACAGAATGCAAAAAGATTATGCTTTTACTTTAGCAAGCCGGGTCATGGCAGAGTTTGCCCGAGCAAACTCCCGAGAAGTCGTCACCTTCCTCCAGTCGTGGTGGACCCCAGGAGGTGCGATTATCCCTTGTCCACTGCCATGTGGTAATGGAACTTGCCGCATTTGGTTTCTAAAACTGAAAGAACCCTGATAGGAGTTTCTACACCTCCCCTGTACAGGTTCGTTTCTTCTTGTTTTGTGATTCTTAGTTAAAGATGTTTGTTTTTCATTTGCTGCGATTTCTTGCTCTCATTTGGGTTTATTTTAAAAAATCATTTATAGGGAAGTGGAAAATGTAAATTTTTTAAATGGTGTGATGAGATCAAGACAGAAGATCAAAGGTTCCTCCTCCTAAATGTCCTTGTGGTGCGGAACATGTAGGAAATATGTTGAAGTTAAAGACCCAACGTGGTCGCAGCTATTTTGTTTGTCCCATAAAAAAGGTATAATCTTAATCATTCATAACTAGTACTTCGTCAGTATAACGTAGTCATTTAGATTTGATGTTAGTTTTGTTGGTCTTCTTGATCTAGTTTTTCTGTTTGATTCCAACTAGTTGTGTGTGTTCCTTCAACAAACTTTAAGCCCTGAACCACTAAAGGAGTTAATTCTCTTAAAGGACTGTGACTTAGCTGTGGCTGGAAGCAGGAATAGTCTTCTTTTTGTGTTTCATTTTTTATTTCTGAAGAAGAGCATGCCATCTCGCATGATGCGAGTAACTATGAGTACGTTCATTTGACTAATGTAATTGGTGATGACAATTGCTATTTACTTTGAGCACAGATGGTCTTTCCCTTTTGCTTCAGGTTCAAAACTGAAACATTACTTGCTAGAGAGTTAATTCTGCTTCTGCCTTGGCAGTTGGGATTGTTAGTTCTGGGAAGGTGATTTTAGCTCCCATCGCAGAGAAATTCCTCTATACTAGCTAAAATGATTTGAGTTAATTATTTCCTGTCATGAAGTGGATCTAATACCTGAACATAGTTCATGAATAGTTTGATGAGCCCTTAGCAGTGGAGAATTATATAGCATATTTCATACACACTTGCTGATGTACAATAGAGAGATCTTCTTTAACTTTATGATGTTTAATTTTCCCTATCTCACTCGCATATTTTTTGCAGTTTATTTATGAATTTTGGAGAAATATTAATCAAGAAACTCATTTCAAACCATGCTCCCTTTTATTTTTTATAAAACAACATGAACATATGTAGAAAAGCTGGGAGAAGATGTGCTTGAAACCAACTGTCTTCATTAATTGGTTTGATTCTGATCAAAGTGTTGTGACTTTGACCTAGGGACTTGGGGCTTGCCCATTCTTTGATTGGCAGATAGTCAATCATCAAAAAGCAAGGCTATGGCTCACCTCAATCTATGTGTGATAGCCACAAGGTTTTGATGAAACAAACAATGAATTGCAAACTGAGCAGCATGAGAGGATGGAATCCATTTTGTCAAACCCCCAAGATTTCCCGAATTCTGAGGCTGTGCCTACATCTTCAGCCCAAGCTTATGTACTGTTGAAGGAGAACCAAGATTCTGGTAGGCTCAAGAATTTTGCCTGAAAAAGGACATGATCCATCCCTATGTTTGACTCCCCAAAATGAAAATACTGTCCCCAATTCTGCCAAAGGTGATCTAGTCATGCAGGAGTAGAGTCATGGGATTCCACAATGCAGAAAGCTTCAGTGATCGTCTAATGTCTCAGTATGATATTCATTGCCGACAGATGGAGTTTTGGAAGCAGATTTCTGTTGCGGGCATTTCAACCGCAGGTGCTTATTTCTATTTTTGCTGTTTTTTACCGATTTTTTCCTCTATTCTTTGTTTACATCTTGTCATACTATAATGGTAATACTTTTAAATTTACAGTAGATATTTGTTTTGGAGGTAACAGATGTGATTTATCAAAGCTTAGGTCTCCAACTGGTGGGCTGGTTGGGCAGGCTTGCTTTCCCTCCTCCACGATGTTTAAAAGATCGTCCTCCCAGTCCTTTCTTTTGTGGTAGGGTTTTACGTGTGTATATGTGGTATTAGTTTCTCCCTCCAGTTATGGGTTCTAACATTACTTTCTAATAGGTATATTTCCTTCATATGATCTCATCTTCGTTCCTAAAGACAGAAATATGCATAATCCTGAAGGCTTAACTCGCTCTCCAAGCCAGTCTCTTTCCCGCGGTGACGATGACTATTTATTATTGCCAATTCCTGGGCATGATCTTCAGCTCTGGAATGGTGATATCCGGAAGCCATCAGGTTCAGGTCTCAAACGTTCTTCCACTACAATAGAGGATGAAAATGTTAGAGATTTTGTTGCAAGTTTAATTTCAAAATCTCTTGAGGTTCTGCATATTCAGAATCAGCTTGTCATGTTCCCGAACTTGATCAGTCCGTCTAATTATGATTCCATGAAAGAAGCTGCACGCTTATTTTTACCTCTTCTAGATGGCATGCCAGTTGACAATGATGCATTTTCTGGTCGTTTGAAACAATTCATTGATTCAGTGACAAGACTTTCTGCCATAGAGCAGTCGATCTGCAATGAACAATCCTTGCGAGGGTGTACTGAGCTGTATAACAGTGAAAAGGTTCACTTGGGTCATATGTCTAAGGTCCATGAGAGGGCTGTGTCTGACTTTACTTCTTCCAGTAAACATCTTCCGTCACTTCGAGAAGAGGCTTCACTTCTTAGGGACATGCTTCGCCAAATTGAGGACAAGTTGTGTTGTTGTGAGGCAGAGACTTCAGAACTGAAGACTCTTCTAGATAAGATTAATAGAGATATGCTGGAGTCCAAGAGACGCATGCTAAAAGCTGAAGAAGCTTTGAAAGTTTGCAAGCAGAGGGAAGAAGAGGGATGTGCGGCAAAGGCTGCACTGGAGAAGGTGAGAATTCAACTTCAACAGTGATTTATACAGCTTGATTTTTAATCTGCAACTTTTTTGTTATTCAAATTGTAGATATGTTGGAGTATGAAAGAAGTATGTGGCTTGCCTTTGTGGAAGCGACAGAAACCTTGAACCTTTTTCAACAGAGAGAAGAGCAGCAATATGCTATCGAGTAGCGTCAGAGAAGGCAGCTTTACATCATCCAGAACTATGTAGCTGACTAAGCAGCAATATTATATTTCTTTTCGTATAATCTGATGGGAGCCTCATACTAACTAGTAAATTGTAGATGTCTCTTATGTAAATCCATCCATCCTTCTCTCTCAATCTTTGTTCATATGCAGCTGTATGTTAGAATAAATAAGTGAAGAATATGAAGTTTCTGAGGCGTTGTGCTTCCTCCTCGCTTTTGTTTCCTACTATCTCAAAGCACCTCACAGCCCATTTCAAGGAAATGCTGTCCCATTTCGCAAGGCACTCTTACTTCTGTAGTTTCCCTTTCAAGATTTATCTTCAAAAGAATCAAAACTTTAATCTTTCTTTAATAATTCTCACAGTGCTCTGTTCCTCAGTTGCCACATGGAATTCGAGAAGTCGATCGTGACGGTGTGATTAAAAATTGAATCTATTTTTTATAATTAATATAATATATATTTTAGAAAAGATAGAATACATCTTAATTTTTGTTGAATATTTAGCATTTACTTGTAAGAGTTATTGAATTTTTTTATATAATAGATTAATTATGCAAGGGCACCATTTTAACATATCTCTTAAAATTAATAAAAAAAATAAAAAATGATATGAATATTCATATGTAAAAGCTTAAAGCTAACTCCTTGGAGAAAGGAATTAGCTTGTAAAGGCATAACTTTTTTGTTTTGTTTTGTTTTATTATATATATCCTTTAGTGGTCATTCCTATTAGCAATTGAGAAAAATTGAACTCAAAATCTCTTAAGTAATACATCTAAGAGTACCTATAGCCCCACTCGGCCACCTAGGGTCATTTAAAGGCCTAACTTTTCTTCATTGGTAAATAATAAAACACTCAATGTGTGTTTGGTTGGGGGTATAAGATTGCTGAGATAATGTCATCTTTTATTATTTGATTACCAAGTAATATAATATTCTGGTAATCTTTCAAAACCAATAGTAGTAGGTAATTTAATTACCTTTATTTTTTTTAGGTATTTTAAGATTACTTGGTAATATTATTTTTGTTACAATTTTACCTTTAACTATCAAATTTTTTGGACAATAATACCCTTGTTTTGAAAAAAATTTAGAAAAAAAATCAAAGACTATCTTATCCTTATATATGAAATTTTTAAGATGAAAATACCCGTGAACTTGAAAAATATTACACATGATTGTTGGTCGGATTTGGCCACCACTGCAGGCCGCCAGATGACAACATCGGAACGGCACACGTAGACCGAATTTGAGCGATCGTGTGCCGATATGGCCGTTTTCGTCAACATCTATGGCCGAAAACGACCAAATCGTTATAGATTTGGCCAAAAATGACCAGATCTGTTCTGCTTGCTTCCTACTTGATCTACGGCTTTTGGTTATTAATGACAGCCGGTCGTGCACTGTTATGGCAACTACCGCCGTCGTCGGCAGCTGGCAATGGATGGGGGTGATTTGGTTAGAAATTAAACTTTTATATGGCTGGGGTGTTTTAGCCATATCGCAGACGTAGGGGGTTAAAAGAGATTATTAAAAAATAATATTATATTAATATTTAAAAAGGAGAGCAATTTAGTAAATTATATAACATGCCTACAAATTTATTATTTCCAACCAAACATATTAATATAATATAGCCACCAGTTTATTCTAACCAACCAAACACATTTCCCTAAATATTCCGAGTGTTTTTGGTTCAAGAAATATTTTATTACTGGGAATGTTATATTAATGGAAAGATAGATTACCTTGAAGATCACAAGGAATGTTATATTGACTGTGTTTGGTTAGATTGAAATAAATTGGTGGGTATGTTATATTGATATGTTTGGTTAGGAGGAAGAAATTGATGGGAATTTATATAGATTACTAAATTGCCCTCTTTTTAAAATATTAATATAATATTATTTTTTTAATCATTTTTTAGCCCCCTACATTTGAGATTTTTCTGAAACATTCCAACCACATAAAAGTTTATTTTTTGACAAAAACACCCCCACCCACTCAAGCCACTGTCAGTTGCATAAACCATCGCCGACCGTCGATCAAGAAGTGCAACAGAGATTTTCTTTTAGGGGTTTTGAAGAGAAGGTGAAGGGGAGTTGATTGGTGCAAGTGCGGGTGATTTCGCTTGTACTTAAGCCCAACCCGTTGGGGGCAGCTCCGGTGATAGGGTTTGGTGGGATTTGAAAAGGAAAACGAGGGGGGTAAGATGGTGGTGGTTGGGGCCGACGGTGATGCCAAAAGCATCCCAAATCGAGCTTAATATCCGCAGCTGCTCAACCAAAAAAATCTCAAATCCACGGCCATCTTGCTGTTTACGACTATTGATAGGGCCGAAAAAGGCTATATTGGCGCACAACCAGCCAGATCCAGCCAGTTGTACGCCATTCTGGTGATGTTGACCGACGATGGTCGCCAGTGGTGGTGGTGGCCAACTGCATCAGTCCTCTTGGGTGACTTGTAAATTGTTTTAGAAATAAGGGCATTACTGTCCAAAACTTTATTTATTTAGGGGTAAAATTTTAATGGTAGAGTTCATGTAAATTAATTTCAAAGTAAGGAAATTATTGTCCAAAAATTTTAATAGTGGAAGGTAAAATTGTAACAAAAATAAGATTATTAAGTAATCTTACAATACCTAAAAAATGGAGGTAATCAGATTATCTCTTATATTACCAACAATAACTGCTATTGGTATTGGAAGATTATCGGAATCTTATATTACTTGACAATCAAACAAGGGAATGTCCAGAATCAAAGATAGATTACCGAGGTTATCTCAATGTTTTAAAACCCGGCTTGGCTCGACCGGTTGAACCGGTTTGACCGAGAGTTGGCTGGTGAGCTAAGTCGGGATAGGCAAAAAACCGGAAGAGTGATTTGGCCTAGTTTCACCCACGGTTGGACCATTGGTACTGTAGCAACCCGTCGGTCCAACCATTTTTTTTTTTTTTTTCCAAAAACCGGGTCAAACTGAAAACCCCCTTTATATTCCTAAATCCACTTTCAACCGCTTTTCACCTATTTGCGATCCATGTCCCTAAAATCTTTCACCGGTGACTCCCCCATTCCAAATCCCTTTTACCATGTTTTCATTTGACAATCGAGTCGTAACCTACATTTTCTCTCTTCCATTTTCGCTTTCTTCATTTCATCTTCACTTTACCTCGTGTGAATCTTCCATTTGCGCAAGCAATCTTTATTCCATCAAAACCAAACCCATAAAATTTCTTCAAAATTTGTCCTTTTTACGCAAAATCCCAAGAAAAACGACTTAAAAACCAGTAAGAAAGGTGCAGACAACAGCAGGCAAATGGGTTTGTTAATGGTGACTGTTGATGCGGGACTTTGGGCACCAACTAACCGATACGTGTGCAACGTTGATTGATCAAAAAGCACACGTGAAAATGAATATATAAAGAGAAATAAATGCTATGAAAGTTTTTAAAGTGGTTCGGATGCTAAGGTAGCAAATCCTACGTCCACTGATGTGTATTGATAATGATAGTGTGGGACAGGTCGCAACAGCGGACTGACTTACAAGAGGTTTAGAAAAAGTAAAATGTGTTTTTTACAGGAGAGAGAGGGCATGATCTTTTGTAAAAATGGTCGAATCCCCTTAATGAAGGGGTCTTCCTCTTCTTATATCAAGCTGAAGCGTGTAATCATCATTAAATCCTTGGGTTGGTGTGATTGTCAGGATATAATCCGGCTTTATGTCCCATCACCTTCTTCCCAAGCTGACTTCGCACGGTTTACAGCAGGGAAATGGACGCGTGGGAGCTCCATATCGTTTGGCAGACCTGACGTGTGTTTGTTGTTCTGACGGGAGCAGGTCATTCTCCATGTGACCCTTCCACGTCAGCCCTTACTTTCCCAGGCATAACAGAAGCCCCCTAGTTTGTAAGGTTTGGAGGGTCGAACCTTGGAAACTAACTCGTGCCGTGATAGGTTTTGGTCTTTTCGACCTGAACGGAAGAAGCTCGGTGCAGAATCCTTTGCAAGCACGACCTCAAGCCACCCTTATCCAAACGACCTGATGACCATCATTCTAGCGACCTGGATTCGT